CCCACTCATCCATCAAACTCACCTGCCGCCCTAACTCACTCCTCACTCACTCACCCATAACACTCACCCCCTTCACCCACTCACCCATCAGACTCACCCCTCACCCACACGACTCACCCCCTCACTCCTCACCATAAGACTCATCCCATCACCCACTCACCCATCAGACGACTCACCCCTCACCCACTCACCCATAAGACTCACCCCCTCACTCCTCACCCATAAGACTCATCCCATCACCCACTCACCCATCAGACTCACCCCCTCACCCACCAGACCCACCCCCTCACTCCCTCACCCATAAGACTCACCCCCTCACCCAGTCACCCATAAGACTCACCCCTAACTCAATCACCCACCAGACCCACCCCCTCACCCCCTCTCCCACGACCCCTCACCCCCTCACCCCCTCACCACCAGACCCACCCCCTCACTCCCTCACCCCTTCACCCCTCACCCCTCACTCCCTCACCCTCACCCCCTCACCCCCCCACCCCCCACCCACCCGACCCACCCCCTTGAGACTCACCTGCCGCCCTGGCCTCCTTGCATGCCTCGTACATCTCGACCTTGATCTCGGGGTTGTCGTCCGCTATCGTCTCGCCGACCGTCACGAAGCGATCCACCGCCACGTTCACGGCCTGACCCACGCGGCAGAGCGCTCGCGCCGTCTTCTCTGACCCGGCTCGGCTCCGCTCCCCGGGCGAGGTCACCAACGTGCTGATCTGCGGGGGAGAGAGAGAGGGAGAGAGGGTGGTTAGAGAGGGAGAGAGAGAGAGATGGAGAGGGAGAGAGAGGGGAGAGGGTGGTTAGAGGAGGTTTGAGAGGGAGAGGGTGGTTAGAGGGAGGGAGGGAGAGGGAGGTTAGAGAGGGAGGTTAGAGAGGGAGGTTTGAGAGGAAGGGGGAGGTTAGAGAGGGAGAGAGAGAGGGAGAGGAGAGAGAGGGAGAGAGAGAGGGAGAGAGGAGAGAAGAGAGAGAGAGAGAGAGAGAGAGAGAGAGAGAGAGAGAGAGAGAGAGAGAGAGAGAGAGAGAGAGAGAGAGAGAGAGAGAGAGAGAGAGAGAGAGAGAGAGAGAGAGAGAGTTTTTGGGTTGGGTGAGGGAGGGGGTGGGAGGGTAGGGAGGGTAGGGAGGGAGGGGTGTGTGTGTGAAGACGGGAAGGAGAGGGAAGGAGGATTCGGGGAGGGAGGGAATGAGAGAGCGAGGGTAAGGAGAGAGAGGGAGGGAGGGAGAGAGAGGAAGGTAGAAGGAGAGAGAGACAGATGTGAGGGGGGGGGTAGCTAGGGGGAGAGGGATGGGGATGGCTGATTGATGTGTAAATGCAAGGGAGGGTGGGGGGGGGGGTTGCTATGTAATGCGAGTAAAGGGTGAGGGTATATATATATACAATTTTTTGTCAGTGTTTTGATATGTGGAATCGGGTGTATTTGTTAGTCAAAATACAAGTAAAAAATAAAAGAAATAGATGAAGGGAAAGGTAAAACACATTTCACAACCATGTCCCATTAACCTTTATCAGTATTTATTTCACCTTCTTATCGTTATACAAACAATAGAGTTCAGAAATGTATAAAAATCTCTCAAGTTGATTTACCAAAACTCTCTCCTCTTCCTGAGATATATATTTCGATACAAAAGCATTATCGAAAACAAAAAAGAAATTAAAAATACGTCTCTTGATAGAAATAGTATATAAGAAAAACACAACAAAAACACTAAACATCTTCCCAAAATCTGAAAAAAAACGAACACAGACATCGAATGATCATAGCGAAAGACAAATAAAAGCGAACAATACTAATTACCGGACGGAAAAAGAAACAAAAACAAAATACTATTGACTCTTTCTGAACCCCCCAAAAATCTCATAAATCTATTTCCCTTTCTAAATCTCTTCAACAACGAAAACACAATTATCAAAACCCCCCAAAACACACAGAAAAAATTATACTGAAATTATCCAATAACTTCATCTTAAATTAATAAAGCCTATTTTCGGTCTAGTTCATTTTCTATTCTTGGATTCCGGAAGAGCGTCACAGGTGGCATATTTGGCAATTATTTTTTTCTTTTTATTATTCAAATTTTCTATAAAAAAAATTAAGTTCATTTTCCTTCTGATATGATGTGGATTGTGAAAACACGCGGAGATCATTCAGGAAACATAGGAGGAAGGAGGGAAGGGGAGAGGAAGGGGAAAGAAGGAGGGAAGGGGAGAGGAAGAGAGGGAGGAAGGAAGTAGAAATGGGAGAGGAGGAAGAGACGATCGAAGGTGAGAGGGAAGGATGGGAGAAAGAGAAGATTCAGAAGCAGACGGACAGACAGAGAGAGTAAGAGTAAGAGAAAGAGAGAGGGAAAGAGGGAAAAGGTAGAGGGAAAGAGGGAAAGAGAGAGAGAGAGAGAGAGGAGAGAGAGAGAGAGAGAGAGAGAGAGAGAGAGAGAGAGAGAGAAGAGAGAGAGAGGAGAGAGAGAGAGAGAGAGAGAGAGAGAAGAGAGAGAGAGAGAGAGAGAGAAGAGAGAGAGAGAGAGAGAGAGAGAGAGAGAGAGAGAGAAGAGAGAGAGAGAGAGAGAGAGAGAGAGAGAGAGAGAGAGAGAGAGAGAGAGAGAGAGAGAGAGAGAAGGACGCACAAATATCCAGAGAAACAAGCCTCCCCCGCCCCCACAAAAAAAAAGGATAAAAACAGTAATGTACACATGGAAGAAAACCAAAAAGACAGCATTGAAACGGAAAGAGGCAGAATAGAAAGAAACAGAAAGAGAGAAAGAAAAATAGCCAAACAAACAGAAGAAAAAAAACATCGGGACATAACGGCAACAAACAGACAAAAAACACACAAGAGGACACAAAGACACCCTCCACCTCCTCTCTCCCCTCCCTATCACTCCCCTTCACCCCCATCCCCCTTCCCCCCTTCCCTTCTTCCTCACACCCGGCCAGGAAAATATCAGATCTCTGCCTGGAATTAATTACACGCCACACTTGCAAGACACATTTGACCTTCGCGGCGGAGTGAACTTGTCGACTCGAATCAGATGAGTGAGCAAGGTCAAGTAGGGTCAAGAGGGGAGGAAGGAGCGAGGGGTGGGGCGGGGCGGAGGGGGTTCGGAGACAGTTCAGACGAGGTCAGAGTAATTTTTTTTTAAATCTGACCTCGGAGGATCAGATACGAATCACGTGACAAGACAATGACTTATTTTTAATGCATATATATTTCTTTTTTCTCTAAACAGATTGAATTTGGTCAAATCGGGTCAAGAAATATAAGAATATGGAGAAAGAGAGAAAGAGAAGGAAAGAGAGAAAGATAAGGAAAGAGAGAAAAAAGAAGGAAAGAGAGAAAGAGAAGGAAAGAGAGAAAGAGAAGAAAATAGAGATATATAAGAATATGGGGGAAGAGAAAGAAAGAGAGAAACAGATGGAAAAGAGAAATACGGAGGAATAAAAGGAAAGAAATATTACGAAAGAGAGAAAGATAAGGAAAGACAGAGAACCATTACGATAGAGTGAAAAGGAAAGGCAGAAAGAGAAAGAGTGTTAAAATAAGGTCAAGTGGAAAGCTCTCAGAGATATCCCAGACAAGGTCAGATTGGGTCAAGATCTATGGATAATTGAGGTCATTTGCAACAAGGGGTTATCAGAGGGCTTGGCCGAAATTCAGGGCACCGGGAAAGGGTCATGATGTTCATATTAGTCTTCAAAGCCAACAAGGGGTCATATCATGTCATGGAAAGGAGCCAAACAAAAGCTTAGATAAGTCATATCATATATATATATATATATATATATATATATATATATATATATATACATATATATATATTAACACACACACACACACACACACACACACACACACACACACACACACACACACACAACACACACAACACACATCGCAATGAGGTCACACCTTGTCAGGAAATTAAATATAAAAACACGAAAAAATCAAACATCCACATTAACGTTTAGAATCCAAAAAAAAAAAAAAAAAAAAAAAAAAAAAAAAAAAAAAAAAAAAAATCACCGAATAAAAATCAAAGGAAATTGAAAGTGCAAAAAGAAAGGAAGGAACCCAGAAGAGAAAATGTAACAAAAGAAAAGTTAAAGCAAAAGTTACAGGTGCAAGATTCAGAGACAGGAGACATCAAGTGAAAATTGGGACAAAGGATAGCAGGTGTGAAGAGAGATCGGGAAGAAATGAGGATAAAGGCGAGAAGAAGAGAGAGCGGAGAGGGATAGAGAGATAGAAAGGAAGGTAGGAAGATGAGAGATCGATGGAGAGACAGATAGAAAGATAGAGAGGAAAATATAGTAAGATATAGAGAAAGATAGAAAAATAGAGAGAAAATATAAAGAAAGAAAAATAGAGAGGAAGATTAACGATAAAACTAAATGGTAAGAAAATAGAAGGAAAGGGCGGATATAACATACATTTTCATTCTTTTGAATTGTCTCTTTAATTTCACTAAAAGAATTCTTTCCCCCTCTCTCACTTTTTCTTTCTCTCTCTCCCTTTCTCTTTCGCTCTCTCTCTCTTTCTCGTTCTCTCCCCTCCCCAACTCTCTCTCTCTCGTTCTCCCCCCCCTCTTTCTGTGTCCCCCCTCTCTCCTCTTTGACTTTCGACATGGAAAGATGATTTGAAAGAAGAAAATGCAGCATATAGGAATAATGATAATGATATTATCGTCTCACAAAATTCTAAGCCTTCAGCATGACATTTCTGTTTTATTTCATCTCATTTCACTTTATCTTATCTCATTTCTCTTTGTCACTTCATCTCATTTCATTTTGCTTCCCTTTATTAATAAAAAAAATCTTTTCGTTTTGTTTTATTCTGTATCTTCTCATTCCTTTATTCTTAATCTCGTTTCATCTTTCTCTTTTTCTTAATGTTCGTATCATTTAATTTCGTCTCGTCCACTCTAATCTCGTTTTATCTCACTTACTTTCTTTTTCTCCAATCTAATCTCGCTTTATTTCGTTATATTTTCATCTCGCTTTTATCCCATTTCGATTCACTTCACTTTATCTCATTTCCTTTTCATTCTGTTTTATCTCAACTTTACCTCATTTTATCTTCTTTTCGTTTCACTTCACGGTATCTGAAAACAACATCTCATTCCTCATGTGGCATGTCATTTCTCGCCTCACGTGAGTTGGAATGAAGGAAAGAGCTTCTCCCTCATAAAAGAAGAAGAGGAAGAATAAGAATAAGAAGAAGAAAGAAAGAGGAAGAGGAAGAGGAAGAGAAGAGGAAGAGGAAGAAGAAGAAGAAGAAAGAAGAAGAAGAGAAGAAGAAGAAGAAGAAGAAGAAGAAGAAGAAGAAGAAGAAGAAGAAGAAGAAGAAGAAGAAGAAGAAGAAGAAGAAGAAGAAAGAAGAAGAAGAGAAGAAAAGAAAAAGAAGAAAGAAGAAAGAAGAAAGAAGAAGAAGAAAGAAGAAGAAGAAGAAAGAAGAAGAAGAAACTCATGAAAACCTCATGGACGAAGGTGCGTTAATCTCCTCATGAATGCGGCTCATATCAGCTGTTTTGAAACGGGTATTTTATTTTTAACATTATTTTAATTATTATTTTCATTTTAATCATCATTTTCATTATCTATCTTCATTTTTTTTATTTTTTTTTTAGGTTGTTGTTGTTACTATTTTTTGCGTGTTTGTGTGTTGGGTTTAGTTTTTGTAGATCTATCTACCATTTTTGGTCTCTCTTTGTCTGATTCTGATTTTTG